TTGCATGCTCGCATTGAGCAATGGAACCACAACTTCAGTTTTGACGCCCATGATCCTTGTGTATTCCACTCTTCCACTGTCACAGGACTGCTGGAGCACTACAAAGACCCCAGCGCCTGCATGTTTTTCGAACCTCTGCTTACAGCACCTCTCCATCGAACCTTCCCCTTTGGCCTGCAGCATTTGGCACGTGCTGCCATCTGCCGCTGGACCACGTATGACGGTATAGGCTCACTGCCTCTGCCCCCTGCCCTGCAGGACTTCCTCAAGGAGTATCACTATAAACAAAAAGTACGAGTACGCTGGCTGGAGAGGGAACTGCCACTCAAGGTCAAATAGGGCTGGTTTCTCCGTACACACACTGCAGGAGGATCACAGGACTTGAATTTGAAATTTCTTGTTGGTTAATTAGAAGCTATACTGATCTGACTCTTATAGACTGGTGAGGATGGAGTTTAAATGTAACAAGCTATACAAGATTCATTCTAATCTTTTAGTTAGTACTTACGTCACAAAAACACATATGATTATATTCAGTATATTGCTGTTTGGCAAGCACACGTTTTTGTGTTCAACAGGTTGTTTTAATAGGAAGAGAAGGCACAAATATCAGTGCTTTGTGTCTTTGTCCTCCTGCTTGTGCTAAAAGTCTGCCTGATCCCACGTCACCCTGTAGACCTCCCTGCATGTCTCCAATGTCCATAGCGATGTTGTACAGTTCACCTAGCGCTTTGTCTAATTATTTTGTTAATTCCCTTGTCAAGGCACCTTCCCAAGTGGTTTAAAGGTGTGTTTGGGTTGAGAGGGCATTTGGAGGTGCTACTGGTGTATTACAGTCAGGGCTGGTCCTATGGACACAGCTGTATAAGGCACATTTTTGGCCATCTCTTTGCACTTGAGAGTGCAGCCATGCCAGAGATGGGGACTGATTCTATGAGTTTTGTAGAGTCAGGAAAGCACATCAGGGAAATAACATGCTTTCCGTGGGAAATAGATTAGTCCTCAGAACCACTGTTTTCTTGCTAAACAGCGGTACTGAGTAACGGATACATTAAGTCTATATCCAGTGTTGTGAGCAAGATCAATCCTTACCCCACCTCATTTTTGTACAATACTCATAGCTTACTGTTAGTCCTTACACTCTGCACGCTGTTGTCCACTGGTACACCCAGTTAATTTCTTCCTGTTTGAAATTGAGTTGTTATGGCAACGAACGAGCACTCTGGTGTCTAAGGCTTCATTTTAAACCTGCTTCCTCAAGTCCTTCTGCTTTTCACCAATAGATGGTTTTACAAGAACACCTGACCCCTTTGCATTTGAGTTGCTTATTTTAGTAAATTGTGGAATACAGAAGCTAACCGGAAGCTTCTGTCATTGTAAGGAAATTAAGAGACTACACTGTGTGTGAGTGTGTGTGGCAAGTAGTAGGTAAAGACAATCAATTACATTTCAAATCACTTTTACCCTTAAACACATGATCAGTTACAGCTGGGAACGTTTGTTTGTGTGGGTGTGTCTCATGAAAGAAAACTTCAGTTTGGTTGTCGTGTTCCTCCTAAATTATTATGAATTTTATTTAAAATCATTGAAGCTGTGTATAGAGGATGTCAAAGTTGCAGAAACCTGAGCTTTTCAAACAGGCAAAACATTTAAATGGTGCTTTTTTTGTGTCATTTTATTGTAATAGGGACTCAAGTTGGTCAATGCCCATTGCATTCATTACTGTTACTATATATTTAGGTTTTTTTTTTTTTAAATAATTGTATCGTCAAAGTGTATGTGGCTCTCACAATTTCAAATGACAAGACACGAAAGTAGACATTTACTTGCATTCTGGTTTGTGGTCTCTTTATTTTAGCTTGCTAGCAGCAACATGTTAGAATTAGATAACATCTTAGGGATAGGGATAGCTAAAGCAAAGGTGTGCAATTAAAGCAGATACGCAGAAATGAATGTTGCACAGAATTATAGATCACAGATGGCTACAAAGTATCAAAATAAATCTTGGAGGTACTTTGTCAGGCAAAAAACTATAAGGGTCGTGTAAAGATTTGGTTCCATTTTTAGTGTGTTCAGCTGTTTTTGTGTTCGACTGAATCTTTTAATTTCCACCTTTAGTTTTAAAGCAACACTAATCAGTGCAAATAACTCATGAACAAATACTACTTTGAGACTGACCAAAGCTCTTCAGGCAGCTGTGTTATGACTACAGATTAAATGCTTCTTGTAGAACTTCAGACAGTCTCGGGTGTCATCGACCAGGTTATTTATCCGTTGAATTTAACCTACATTTTCAAACGGAACAATATGTTTTTAGAGAAAACTGAAGAATAATAGCCTTAAAAATACTCACTTTTTATATTTAAAATATAAGCAACCTCTGTGTCATAACGAACAAAGTGATGCCGTTGTTATTTTATTTCTTTTTTTTTATGCTAGTCTGACTGTTTTTCTGCAGCCTACATGCTGTGCACATTTTTTGTCTAACATAATGTGGAACTAGTCAAAGTGAAGGCTGTTAGTTTTTAGTAATTTTAATTTAAAAGATTTACCATCGACCCGCCACATGAAGTGACTTTTCTACACAGTTTTTTTTTTTTTTTAAATCCTAAATATCTACCTTGTTGCTCACTGCCCTCTCCCATTCATGACCCAGCTTAGCTGTAGCATACAGCTCCTTACTGTGTCCACACCCCTCTTGCAGGCTCTAATCACAGGCTAATTTTAAGTTAAGATATAAATCTTACAGGCTACTATAAGGGCCACTCTGTGTTGCCTTAGGTCTGCTGTGTAACTGAGGGAGGCAATTTATTCTCTGTCTTCATCTGGCTGTGGCCTCTACATTGCTATGTAGAGGTGACTTTGTTTGAGATGGAACTGAAGGCCTGTTTGTCCTGTCCTTGACTCCAACCCTGGTAACCTAAAGCTCAAATTAACCCAAAGAAGCAGGTGAAGGGGAGATGGAGCTCAGTGGTTTCCTGTTGTGGCAACAATGCACTTGTAGTGAGGACTAAAAATGTGTGCACGTGAATAGTGCTTGGTGTTGTGCAGTCAACAGTGAGATTTATTTTACATTTCTGTTATAGTATATCAAACACCTCTGTGCCAGCACTGGGGTTAGTGACACAGCCATGATTCTCGTGTCTGATTATTGTCAACCCAATACTGTTGGGATGTAGAATCATCTGGTAGCAGCTGCAGCAAAAATGGGTAATGGGGCATAGCCGGACACTTCACCTGCAACCTCTTCATCCAATCTTGCTGTCATCTCATTCTGTGATCTAACGCCATGTCATGCTTTTGCATTTGACAAAGGCTAAACAACTGATTAATGCACACTTTTCCGTTGTACTTGCTGGCCTTCAGCCAAAACATACAAAATATGGAAAGTGGGCATTGTGGGAAATATATTCCAACCAGAATACTTCAGTAAATGATGTTTGTCCATTAGAAAAGTTCTTGGTAAGTTTAAAGATTGGTACTTAACAGAGTTAACTTTCACTGTGAAACTCTACTGTACTCTTCCTGTTGTAGAAATGTTTTTTTTTTTTTTTTTTTTTTTACAAAAAGCTACTTAAAAAAATGTATGGGTGTCCAAAAGACAAAGCTGCAAAAGTTGTAATGCTAACCGCTAGCTTACTTGCTGAAAATGTGGACCACAAACCAAATGTAAATTCCCGGACTAAAAGACTTTTTTTTTTTTTCATTTTCCCTTTGTAAAACATTCTTGGTTGCACTGAAGGCAGGTCAAGCCAAAGATGAACATTATTTTTTGGCCCTTCTCGACTGCTTTGATCTCAAGTTGCATTTATTATATATATTATATGTATATATATTTATGCAACACATATTCCCACTCTGTACATTGAATTAGGTATAGATTAGAGGTTTAGATTTTTGACAAACAAACAACTTTTAAGCTAAAAGCCTCATGCCTATGTCGAAATAATCAGAAATACCTACCGGTTTTGATACTTGCGAACAACACTGCATATGTTTTAGCTCAAGATGGTAAGATGAGAGTGTTATAAAGAACCAGTGGTCCTGAAATATTTCAACATTAGTCGTTGCGTGCAGTTTTGGTGGAGTTTTATTCTCCACCCGGCTAGAGACTCTGTGAATGCATGGGTGTCACGTCATGTTAGTATTTTAGTGTATGGACAGACCCACACTGAGAGTTCAAGGGAGGGGATGTAGAGGTGACCGTGAGGGGTGATGCAAGTGACTCCAGTGAACAAATGCCCTTCTGCCCCGTCCCAATGCCTGACCACACAACACTCTAGGCCCTTCTTCTCAGGCAGGTCGTGACAAGGAGAGTCCCAGGACCCTCTCAACCCATTTTTCCCCATGGGAAATATCAAATGTTAAGTGTAGCACATGTTTGCCATATATCCCTTAGATTTAGTAGGAAAGTTAAAAACTTTGAATGAATGATGGAATGATGTTATGGGAGCCTAGATGAAAAAAATATATATTTTATTCTTCTGTGGTGCATCATCCGTTTAGAATGCATACAGTTGCACATACACCATCTTCACACATGACCTACCATATGCACCATGCACACGCACCCACCCACCAGCCTACTCAAAATTCAGGGATGTGAATGGGCCACATTTATGCACAACCTCCCTCAAAACAAACACACACGCACACTGACACACAGGGGAAAGCAATTTTTAAGTTGTCATTCGTTGTTAGAAAAGAAAAACAATGCCATAAATGTATGTATTTTAACCCTATATTGTCATTATTATGACACTATTTAGCTGCACTATTGTTGATTATGGCAGGAAACTGCTGGGTCTGTCCTGCAGACTATGTTACTAACTGTCCCTTTAAAACCCCTGGATTTTTAACAATATTAACCTGGAACATCACAAATTTTCAGCTCTATGACGACAAACCAACAAAAAAAGGTATTGGCATCTTTTTCCATGTTCCAATATATATTTTACCAAGCAGGGTTTAAGTGCTATGTGCAAACAAAAGATGAATGAAAGAAATTATTTTTCATTATTAACTTCTCCCTAATATGCAATGGAGTGTAGTGTAACAATGGTTGTATTCCTCTGTCACTTTAATGCTGTATGTGCACATTGGTTGCTGTGTGGATGTGGGTGCCGAGGCAACGGGACTTGACAATGATGGGAACTAATGGTTGTCACTCTGTGTTCCCAGACTGCCTTATTCGTCCTGGCCAATCACAGTAGCCCTCCTTCCAGCCAGGGCTGCGGCCGCCGACAGCGGCTGTGGTCAGACGAGTATTGCTGCTCCATTATCTCCTTCTGCTTTCCCTTGCATTTTTTTTCCTTTCATCTTTCCCTTTTTCTTTTCTTTAGCCGCGAGGTAGAATTTGGAGCGTGTAAATGGCAAGTTAATGTTCACATCTGTATGTTCTGTATATCTGCTTCACCATTCAGACAAAAACAGTTGTTTTGCAGTAAACCCTTTTCGTTTTGAAGAGCCGTATGGTGCGACACTTGTAGCTGTCACTCTTGGTGCTTGGCTTATGCTTCATTGTCTTAATATTCCAAATAAAACTGTTAAGTGTAATCCACACTGGCCCATGATAAAATATTGCGTGTGTCTATTTTTCATCCTATGTCTTCCAGACACAATCTTCTTGTGGCAATCTTTTGCTATTGTTCCAGAAACTCTTTCTACAATGGTGTTGATTACATCACGACTGGAGCCTTTCAGTAAATTTTACTAAGTTTTCCCTCAGGATTGTGTTTTGTAAACAAAGGATGTTAGATTGAAATGTAGATAAATCACCAAAGCATCCATAAACTTGCATAGGTTTCATATTTGCACGTTTGTGACCTGTGACCTTTAAAGCCTGACATGGTAGACTAGGGAAGGTGTAGTTCATAAGTTATATTTGGAATTTTACAGGCTCAGTCTCACAAGTCTAGGTGGCAAATATCTGTCGGCACTACTGGAAAAAAAATGTGGTAAATTGTGAACATTAAAACAACTTATAACATATTAACTAAACTTATAATAATTCAAAGAAACTACACATTATTAGATAAACTATATTATTGATATTTATCTGAATACCTAATAATACTGTTACTTTTAAATTAAAATACATAACATAGTCCATTAATTAGTGCAAGATGACATCCTCAGTTTACGACTGGTGAACTGTCTGCTGGGTAACATTACTGACTGCTGGGGTAGAGCTGCTCAATGTTCTGTCTTAAATATCCCAGGTATCATCAAATATTCTTTATTGATGTCAAGAGGGACTTGATGTTATTCTGCATACATTTGCTCAATATTTTACACAGAGAGAATCAATTGTATTGATAAAGAATACAATTGAAGTGGAATAGATATTGAAGTTGCACTTCTGCTGGGTTAATTCTGAATGCTGACATTCTTAAGTGGGACTATCAGCTACCTTCATTTTTGTGTGTGTGTGTGTGTGTGATTCTGGTTTCTCTTTTTGCAGGCTACGTTCATCTGCACCATAGAACTGGGGCGACCCCGCACGGCCTGGGGTCATTGGCATTTTGACAACAAGTGGTAAATATGCAAACCTATTCTGATACACTCTATGAAATAGGACACAGTAATTGCCAGCACTGAAATAAACGCCATCTTTAAGAATAGAAATGTTTGATAATGTGCAGTGGGTGAAGCCATAGGAGTGTGTTCTCTATGAGCCTGGTTGCATAGAAGTGTGCGTTTGGCCCGGTTTAAAGGATTTGTTTCCATGTTGGGATTTGTATGCGAGTGCCCGTGTCCATCTTTTATACTTGGTTTATAGTCCAATAGTGCGGTACAACTGAGCCCTGCCATTCAGTCTTTATTACTCCTACTTACAGCTGCTGATTCATCTTTTCCCCTGAACAATCGGATGACCGACCTCCCCTGACCACCCACTCACCCCCTCACTCCTGCCCACCCTAACTATTCTCTCTATGCCCAGTAGCTTCTTGCAGAGGGCCAGCAAAGCTGCCTGGAACTTCACAGTTAGGTATTTGTTCGTTTGAAATGAAGTATAAATAGCATGTGGGTTATCGGTTTCAAGTGAGCTACCCAAGGCTTATGAATAATTGAGGTTCACCCAGGAGGAGGGTGAGGCTGAGCTACCACCCAAGGCAGGAAACTCTCTGTTGGCTCAGATCAAAAGGAACTGACAAAACGGACTACAAGGCTCAGCCGTCTTAACCCACGACTGTGCATCAATACATTTGTCCTCAAAGCATGTCTTCAGATCCCTTTAAATCCAAACTTTGAATGCCCCGCCGCTGTGCCTTGATGAGGCATTAGACTTTCAGGAAATGAAGCCCCCGTGTTGAAGAGTATTTTTTTAATTATTTTATTTTATAAGAACTTATTGATACAACACTGGGGAAATTCTTAAAACTCTAGGGATCAAACCCAGGACCTTACAGGTGTAAGGCAGCTGTGATAACCACTGAACCACTTTGAACTAGTCAATACGACTATAGTTAACCATACTTCAAATTCTGACCAATCACACAATTGTTTCCAGACATGAGGAGAAGAACTCGTATTTTTCTCACATCCCTGGGAGAGAAAACAAATTTCTCAGTTTTTTGCGCAGTATGTTTCAGATTAGCTACAAATGTTCGTACACGCTGATGAAGATGAAGAAGATATGGAAGAAATTAGCCTTGTGTTTTTTGGGTCTCATGGTCAAAGTGAAGCCAATTATATAATTATAGTCATATTTTCAAAAAGACATTTTTTGAACTGCAGTGCATTTATGTCTCACACACACACACACACCTCTGTGTTCTGTACCGGTATACAACCAGTTTAGAGACCAAACAATGACTCATTGTGTATGGGTACGATGTAGCTCACTACATAGAGGAGGGAAGGGTGGAATGAAGCGGCGTGTGATAAAGGACTTGTCATCTTATCAGCAGGGCAGAGCTTCTAGATTTCATCAGTGAGCAGCTCACTCATCCCTATGTTGGATCCATCCTTATCAGCCTCCACTGTTCTGAGTGTTCTATCTGTGCTTTGCACATTGACACACAGTGAGCAGTTGTTTTTGGCAGCTGCATCAAAAGACATGAGGAGGGTGAGAAAAAGATAAAGGTTTATGATGTATTCTTGTGTCGATTGATAACAACTTCACACGAAGTCCTCTCTTTTTTATGCTAACGGTGTACCCAGTAGTACACAGTGCTGTCACATGCTGTGTACTTTGCATACTTGGTGTGGGAAAGTTTCTCTAAAATATTTGAGCCAGTGAAACATTTGATCAGCGTCGAGTTTGTGTTGAATATTTGTTTTTGGCCTCATGATTCTGGACCGTGAGGATGTAGAGATTCTCTTGTCATATATAAGTAGCCAATAAATACACTATTTTCCAAGTAATTCATATTAAACAAATAGCCATTCTGAAACTCCCATTTTCAGTAAATGTTAGCCCCCCAGTTTTGGTTATGTCGTTATATTAAAACTTAAGGAAAATCTTATAAATGGCTGATGGTAGGGCAAAGATAAGATACTGCTGTAATAAATCACATTTATTTGTATTGATGCAAGAGTTATTCAGGCAACAGCTAAAAGATTTTAGCAACAAAATAAAAACAGATTTTATTTAGTAGCAGAAAATCAGCAAAAATACGAGCTGCAGATCTACAGAAAGGTACACAATGTAACCAAGTTGCATTTTAATGTTAACAGCACCTTGAGTCATACTTCACAGAGGCAAAGGGGGGTTTGAGGCCACATTGTTGTATAGTACCCTCAACTAGCGCAGATGCTAACTTCAAGTCTGTCTGTTTACACTTTTTCAAATGCTTGTATGATTTTCAAATCTGAAGCCAAAAGCTGCGAAAGGACAGCACAGCAGAATATTTGCTCTAGTTTCGTGGCGTACTGATGTAAAAATGGAAATTTAGAGAAGTAAGCATATAAATGCAGATCTAGGTCTTTAAGGTGCAACTCTTATGGTAATGCTGTTCGTACTGGTCTGTATTTTTAGCTTTCACTACAACAGTAATATGTGCGAGGCCTGTTTTACTGCCCTGTTTTCTGGAGTCATCGGCAGAGCTCCGGAGAAATTTCCCTCCTTCTGTCCGTCTCCACAGCTACAGTAGTCAGGATTTTTATTTCCTCTTCTGACGGTAACCTGAGCCCACAATTCCCCTTGCACATAGTGCTAAGCCTGAAGCTCAGCGCAGTGCACTGTACACACACCATATGGCTCTGTGTGTATGTTGGGCGCATGCAACCAGTCAGTGAAGAAGGATGAGGAGGAAGAGCACAGAGAGTGAATTCAGGACAGAGTGAGAGAAAGAGACACTGCTGCTACTTTTTTCTCCGTGACTGGAGCGCTGCCAAGCCTGTGGCGGCAGAGTGAGCGTTGACCTCCAGTTAACCTTAGGTGGATGCACATACACAGACAGGCACACGCTCACTTCCATATTTCATAGCAGGAATATATCTGCCTGACTGTGCTCTATACCCACTGCTGAGCTCATCTCACAGTGGCTGAGAGGGTTGACGAGGACCAGGCCTGTAGACTGCTCCTCGTCCACAGTCTCTGCCAAGAGCAACAGAGAGGCTCAGGCAGGTACCATACATCAGACCTTTCTTTTCTTTTTTTTCTTTTTTTTGTCTTTTTGTATCATGTGTTAAGTGTTTTGACCTATAACGGCTTTATCTGGATTTGATAGAGCTGGATCACTATCACCGAAGCCAAACATTCAGTTTTCGTCTCTCAGGAATTCGTGGACCCTCTGGAAAGTTGACTCCACACCTGTCCAACATCTGCTCGCAAAAGAAGTCCAGGTTCTGCTCCACATAATCTGATTAGAGACATCTCTCATCCAAACCCCACTTATTCTCCTTGTTCAACACACTCTTCTCCTACGACAACCCCCCCCTGCCCTCCCCCCTCCTGCCCTCCCCCCTTTGCTCTAAGAGAAATTTGGACAGTCAGTGAACGGCATCTGGATTGACCTTTTTTTCTCTGGCAAAGACTGTGGAAAATTTCAGTGGGCATGTCCTGTTAATTCCTCCATCTTTACCCCTCCTTTGCTGTTCCTCATTCTCCATTACTCTGTTCCTCCTTGATCGGATGTCAAATACTCTAAACGTGTGATTCTCACGCGCATGTATCAACCTAAAGACTGAGAGGTTTCAGAACGGTGTCCTGTCTCCCCTCACTTTCATTTGGATTCTCTACTTTTTAATTGGATCAGTTTCTCACTTCTCTTCTCTATCCTGCCTTTTTCCTCTTTTGCAATGTATCATTGCTGCTTGGCTGCCCTCTGCGTCAACTCTCAGCTCTTTTAAGGAAACATGCCTTCCTTAACCCTCAGCCTCCCCTTTGCTCACAGAGCCCCGGGAAAGTTCTGCTTGTGTCGAACGTTGGCACCAAGACCCGGTTCGTGTATGTGTTTATGGAGTTCTGACGAATTCCTTCCCCGCTCCCTCTCTAGCAGACTTGACATGCTAGTATTATATTTAATCCCTCATTGCCCGTGCAGGCAGGAGCAGTGTGGTGGAGGAGCGCTGAGGACTGCAGCTGTGGAGGAGCTATGGCCTCTGTGGTGGCTGGTGCACCATTACGGAGGCAGGACAGGAAAGTGATGGGTGCAGACGGTCCTTGTGGTGAAGCTATGGGATATGTGGTGGAGCTGTATTTTCTTAGGACAGGGTATTGCCTGGGTCGTTGGCTCTGAGAACACTGGTCACTTTGTAATTAATTGCGTTACAACGAAGCCACTCCCCTCCACTGGGTATTAGGTTCCCAAGTAGAGTTTAGGAAATAACAGTGACATTTCAGAGGCTGTTTTTCAAAACTTAAGCCACGATAAATCAAGTAAATCATTTAAAGCGCTGAAAGGATGATGATGATGATCTTAAATAGAGGTCTGCAGATTTTTTTTTATTTTTCGACACTGTTTTTGGAACTGTTTTTCGGTAAAATAGGCAAAGAGTTTCCATGATGTCACTCAAACAGATGGTTTTATTTAAAACATTAAGTAATCAGAAACAGGTTGCAACACATTCCAAAGAGTTGGACCTAAGAGTTAATAGAGGTCACATTCTTTATGGTTATCATCATATTGCTGTGTGATTTCATTTTTGGGTCAATTTAGGCTTTGTTGTTGAAAAATAGCTTATTTGAAATTTGACAAGAAAATAGTCTGTCTATTTAAAAAAAACTCCACTTCAGAAAATCCTCAACCACAGAATGATACATGTTCAGTAAACTTGGTTAGTAAATACAGCAAAAGGTTAGTTATGATATTTGCATTGGCAAATGCTAAGCTATGTTAGCATTTACCCATAAGAAGCTAAATAAACAAAGATGGCTGCAAATTACATAAACCTAGTTCAGAATATATTTCACAAAAGTGGCGAGTGTATACAAAAGTTTGTTTTCTACTGCTACTGATGAGTCATACGAATAGATTTTTAGGAAGAAGTCACAGTCTTCCAAACACCGTCTGTTTGTTTCCAGGGTCAGTCCTTGGCCGTAGTGGCGCTTCAAGGGAAAATGTCGTCTGTGACGAACCTGTTTGTGT